TTGTATGCAGTTGTGCAAAATGTGGGCAACACATTAAATTTCACAACAAACTAAATTAAACATCTACACCTACTAACAGTTTTTTTAAAATTTCCTTCAAATACAAGAACAAATTTTTGCTTACTTTTCTATTAATGTCTCCAAAATTTACATTATCATTGTCTCCAGCAAAAGCAACACACTTAGACAACAATTCATATGTTTAAAGTGTTTCAGAGGTTTCATTTGGTGTGTTTTCTAACGTAAGAATTTTAGTTTGGATACCACCTGCCTTCCAGTGAAAGTATTGAATAACGATCTGAAATTTTTTCTGTGAAATGTGATTGCTAGCATCTGTGGAAAGACCAAAACATGAAATGTTATCTAATGATTTCACTACTTGATCAACAGCCTATTACCTAATATCCAGGTAAGGTAGGCCTATTGGGGCCTGTTACCTGGTTTATGATTGTCTCAGTGTTTGTTTTAAACATGCGATACAATTTCTGAATCTTCAAAATTTGTGCATTAAACCAGCCGTGCAGGCCATCGAGTTGTATGACTAATGACAAACTGTATGAAATGCTAAAGTTACTTCAGCTGCATGGATTTTTTGCAATATCTTTGAGTTTTTAGGTTGAGAAAAGGATGTCAACTTATTTGATGGTGGTGACACTTTGATTAGGTTTTTATGTCTCTCACTGTTAACATGGCGTTCTAAGTCAGTAGCTTCTTTGTTAGTGACGAACAAGTAACTATCACAAATCGTCCATTTTCCTCATTCTCGTTGCGCCCTTCAGCAAAGCATGAATAGTTTCTTTTGATAGTACTTGAAAACTTGCATTTTCTCTTAGTAGAAATAGAAATCATTTTTATAAAAAAGTCGAAATTCAATTTAAGTGCTGTTGTTGCCATAGGTGCAAAAACTGACATGGACAAAATGTGCTGAGCTGAAAATGTTTTAATTAAAAAAGAATAGATCTATACTGTATTTTAATTCCTTTGCTGTTTTATCGAAAAACGATTGGGAAAGCAAAATGCGCGGAATTAAAAGTAGAGCCTGAAGTTTTAGTTAAAGAATAGAATGTCAAAACAAAAACTTAAAAAAACTAAACTTAAACTGAAAAAGGAGGATATGTCTTCCTTTTGCCGGATGTCTGGCAAACCCTATATATATATATATATATCAACCCTCGGAATTAGAAAAAATGAGGTTGGCAATAAGTTGCTGACCTCAATCTGAGGTCAGCAAAAGATGAGATTGGCATCTTTGTATCAAAATTATTTGATACAAAGGTTTAACCATAAAATATAGAAATGAGGTCAGCAATTTTTTGCCGAGCTCAAACACCTTCAGGTCGGCAGTTAGGTGGGCATAGCCAAATGCTTACCCTAATTCCGAGGATATAAATATATATATATATATATATACACATATATATATATATATATATATCTATATCTATATATATATATATATATATATATATATATATATATATATATATATATATATATATATATATATATATATATATATATATATATATATATATATATATATATATATATATACATACATATGTATATATATATATATATATATATATATAAATATATATATATATATATATATATATATATATATATATATATATATATATATATATATATATATATATATATATATATATATATATATATATATATATATATATATATATAGTTTTATATAAATACTATATATATATATATATATAGTATTTATGTAAATACTATATATATATATATATATAGTATTTACATATTTCTTTTTTTCTCAAATTTATTCAAGCATAGCAAGTTTCATTATTAAATTTCAAGTATATATTATTATTTCAGTTTCAAGTATATATTATTAAATTTAACTTAAACTTGGAGTTTGCGCCATGCCTGGAGGCATCATATCTAAAACATCAAAAAATCCTGCCTATGCCACTAAAGGTCAGGTTATACTTGTTTGCTATTAAGAAAGCAACTTACCAAGGAGAAGAAAAACTCAATATAAAGCGGAAAACTTTCCTTGTGTTGCTATCAGAGAAATTCTTAGTCCTGATTCTCAGTCCAAAACAAATTAATGCCAAGAAGAGACTATTGGGTTGTAATTGTAACTAATATTGTTTGTAATTGTTATTAATCCTATCTTGATATAAATATAATGACTTTATATAAAACCTGCTGCTGTGTGATTGATTAAATAAGAAACTATCTAATACTTAACTAATAATTTGAAAACAAATAATGATTTAAACATTTGAACATATTTAAAAGTTATTTTTTTAAACTATTTTAAAAAGTATCATTAATAAAGAGATCTTTTACTCTCCCTTGAGTACCAACTATTCACGCAGACACAAAAAAAAAAAAAATGTTTTTAAAATTTAACTCTTTGACAAATAATTGAAAACGTTACTACTCCAAGTATGCTTTTATAAAAGTTCTGGCTTTGAAAATGACCATTATTTAGTGTAATTAAACTATTCATTTAAATTTAATCAATGTTTTTTCATTTTTGATCATAGAAATTTTTGCAATCATTTTATTCTCTTTGAGTTAGTAGATACTCAGTTATTCTGTTGCATATGAAAAACTTCTTATTCTGAAACAATGTGTAACCAGATAATAAGTTTAAAGACTTTAGATTCTTTAGATACATCATTTGTGACTACAAATTTCAAATTAGAAAATGTTGGCAAAACTCCACTGTTTCTTAAAATTTAATTTGCAATTAATTGTGAATTAGTTTTTTTTACAAAACCAATATTTTAATGGCAAAATATAAATTACACTTTGTAAATATTTCCAAATATTTTTGTAAATATTTCTAAAAATAACCATATTTTGCTGCTATAACCATAAATTGCAAGTTCTGCTACAAAATGAGTTGAATAGATAATCACTTCGTTAAAAGATAACTTTTTTATCTCTGTCGAAAATTCAATTAATAATAAATTAATTTATAAAAGAATTATTGTAAACTGAGTTTTTTTAAAATGCTAACAACATATTTAAAATTTTTTTAAAATGCTAACAACATATTTCATTGCTAAGAAATCTAGTTAATTTTCTTGTTGGTTCTTAAAATAAACTTTCCTGCGTCGCAGGAAAGTTTTAAAACCAGCTAGCTCTTGTCTCTACAAGAGAGTTTGTTGTGAAGTATCTAAAGACATAACAAGGTTAATTGTTAATTCATCTATGTACATATCAGGATAGCATTTGTCATTGATTAAGGTTGTTTTTATCTAAAAGAGTTGAAGAAAATTTTTTTATTGTTAAATCCTAAGAGTTTTTTTGATGACTTGCAAATCATGAGACTGACTTGATCATGAATCAAATCTCAAATCACGAGACTTGAGCCTTGCAAAACCTCATTAATGTTTACATTTCTTAGAACAAATTGTTCAAGAATATGTATTTTTTACTGTTTCAATAGATAACTCAAAACCCCAAGACACCTTTAATAATCTTTAATATAATTTTTGTCTTCAAAAAGAAAATTGTAATCATTAAAAGAATCAAGAAAAAAATATTACATTAAATGAAGCATAATGTGTTTGTGTGTTTCCTTATTTTATGCAAGCTGTTTATGACAGCATTATTGTTTTCAATAATGCGGTCATAAACATGAACATTAGCAGTAAAAGTACATTTAATCTTGAGATTTATACTTTAAAACTTTAAGGATTTGTTTTAGTCACTTAAAATGATTTATTTTGTTGGATATATAATTTCTAACAGTTTAGGATTTATTTATTTAGTTTATTAAATCAAGGTCAAAAAAAGAAATGTAGTACCTTACTTAAAAGAGCTGCAAAAAAAAACCTCCCAAAAAAACATTTCAAAGTGTAGCTTTTGTAAAAAAGCTAGGTTTTGAAATTTTGAAGCAAGGCTAGAATTTTTGAGCATATAGGGCCATGCTCATAAAAGTTTAATAGTAAAACAATATAGTCAGATTTTATGAAGGAAAAAAAACTTAGAGATGTCCAGAGTTAATTAAACTCATAATTATTTTTAAAAATCATGGTTGTAGAGGAGTTATAATTGTTTTTTAAGTATTTTTGATTTAAAATTGGTATTAAAGAAAACTACTTGGCATCTTATGCTTAAAATAATATGGATGAACAATACCATTCAAGAAAAAAGAACAATGTAATGCTGATCAGCTGTACATTAAACTTAAACAAGTATGATAGGAAGGTAAATTGAGATATGAATTGAGTAATTGCCACATCATTTAGAGAAGTTATAAAAAACAAAAAATTTTAGCAAAATTTTAATATCATATTCAATTCATATTCTTGACTATTGGGCATTTCCATTCCATTGAGTCAAAAAAAATGAAATTTTAAAACAAATATATTTTTAATTCGGAAGATGGAACTCAAAAGAAGATAAGTGATATTTTGATTATCCAAAAAAAAAGAAAAGATAGAAGACAAATGTTTCTTCATGTTTTAATTATTTTAAGTTTGCAATAAATAAATAAAATATTTAAGAAAAAAAACAAATATTTTTATTACATGTGATTATAACATTTAAAATTGATTTCATGACCCAGATTTTTTTGATTCTTAAAGATAATGATGTCTTTTAATATTTCATTATCATAAATTGCAATTAAGTATCTTGGAGGTGTCTAAAATTTTACGCCAAAGTGAACAGGGTTTTGAATTTCCGTGCGTAATTTAAAAGATCTAATTATTTAGAAAAAGAAATGTTAAAAAGTTTCAATTAAAGTGATTTTTTTTACTTTGCGTATTGTTAGGTTACTGAATTGAATGGCAAAATTTTTTTATTTATTCTACAACATTTTAGCATTGTTTTTTTGCATCACGCACAGACAAATCACGCACGGACAAATATTCATCCGTGCGTGATAATTATTTTTCTTTAGCTAATTAATTAGATAAAGTAAAACTTAGTTAGATAGAAAACAGTTGCTTAAAAGAATTTAGAATTAAAATGAACAAATTTTAGAAACATCCAGAATATCGGATTGCTGAAACTAATCGAATGAAAAATAAAAGAGCTAACATGAGCAAAAAAGAAAAGGAGGACGTATGTCAAAAAGATCGCGAAAGAAGCAAAAGCAAGAGGTGAATCAATCTTCATCTGATATTGAACAACCCTTTTTATCTCGAGCATATTAATTTAAAAGTTGGCAAATCTAAGTTTTACGATCTGCGGCCATTCTATGTCAAGCTAGTAAACGATCTTCCTCACGATATTTGCCTTAGCATATACCATGAAAATTTCAGGTTGTTAACAAATGCCCTTCAAAAAAAAAATTTATATTATGTCAGACATAGTTGACAGATCTGTGTGTAATCAAAACAACCAATCTTGCATGTTTATGGAATGTAAAGCAAACTGTGGGTTGCCAAAGTTTGATGAATATGTATCTAATGTTATAGACTCATTTGGTGACGATTCCAACAAACTCTTTGTTTTTGACCAATGGTCCTCAGAAAATGCGCAGAAAATTGAACAACCACTAACATCTTTGTTAGAGGGGTGTGTATTACTGCGTCAGCAATTGCCAGATTATATACGTCATGTCTATATAAAGCGACAACAAAGTGCATATTTTCGTTTATGTCGCCAAAATGTATCAGAAAATGAATTGATTATACAAGTAAGTAAAATTGTAACTTTATTTGTAGTACGATAACAAAACTTAATAATTTTGTATTAATATTTATAAACTTATTATTCATCCATTTATATTTTTAATTCTTCTAAAACTAGATGGATTTCAGTGAAAATTACACCATAATGGAGCAAAGTGAAATTCAATCTGCTTACTGGGTTCATCAGCAACTAACAGTATTCACTGCAGCAGTTTGGAGTAAAAACTATACACATTCCTATGCCATTGTATCCGATCGTTTACTTCATGATAAATATGCCGTCTTGTTCATTATCAAAGAATTATTGAATTGTTATCATAATATTTGTAAATTACACTTTTTCACTGATGGGCCTTCATCACCATTCAAAAACTCTTATGTCATGACAGCCATGAATAATTTGTACAAATTATCATCTGATCTTCTTGAGATTTGTTGGTCATTTTTTGCAACATCACTTGGAAAGGGGGCAGTTGATGGGATAGGTGGAGAAATAAAAAGAATGATTTGGACAATAGTAAAATCTGGAAAACGATATTGTCGCAGTTTAGAAGATTTTGTGAGCATTGCAAGTGAAAAAAATACCAAAATTAATGTAAGTCATTATTTATAGAAAAAACCTCAAAATGAAAGTTAAAGACAAGAAACTTTTGGTTATTAAATTTTTATTTTTTTAGATCTTCTCTTTTACAAATGATTTTATCACAAAACAAAGTGAGATCGATGAGACGCTTCTCAAAGATAAGTTTAAAGTCAAAGGTATTCGTCGCCACCACTCTTTTCTTTTTAATATTAGTGGCGCTTACATGGCAATTTGTAACCGTTCAGAAATGGTAAAAATTGTTAATAATTCATCATCTTCATTATTGATAAACGTGGTATCATCCTCATCTGAACAGTACAAATTTGATACTATTTCTCCAGGTATATTTGTCTTTGTAGAATTGCGTTCTGCTGGTAGAGCAAAGACATACCTTGCCGAAGTTTTAGAAATTTTAGATAATATGGCACATATTAAATTCCTAAAAGAACAAAACAAACTCATTTTTATATGCCCATCTGTAGATGACCTCTCTTGGCATGACTTGTGTGAGTTAAAACCATTAGTACCACAACCGCACTTTAATAACCGTGGACATATTATTGTCAAGCCGAAGTGTTACCACTAAACATATTGTTAAAAATTTGATATTGTATCTTTCTTATCTTTAATATATTATTAACTATATAATATTATTATTTATTTTTAATATAATACACTTAAGTATTTATCTTTAATCCAACGTGTATTAAATTAATTAGAATTGATATATATGCTATTTGTGATAGTCGCAATCGATTTATTTCCAAAAATACAATCCAAAAATGACGAATGTTTGCATGTTCCGTTCGTTACTCTTTTTTTGTCCGTGCATGATTTCGGTTGAAACTACTATTACAGAGCAAAGATACATCGTAGAATGCTGTAACTTTGTAAAAATCTTTAAAAATGCTTGTATAATTACCTTTAAAAAACAAAACACTCGTCACTAATACATTTTCAGAGAAAATAGGATTCATTTATTAATTTTTAACTTTTTGCTTTTTTCTGTTCCGTGCGTGACTCCATTAAAAAATTCATTTATTTTATAATGAAGCAACCCATAACTACCATACTTTGTATAGGTAATATATACATAGATGTCAATTAAATAAAAGTAAGTCAGTGGTTACAAATTGCATTATTTTCAAAATAATTAATGCAACAGATGCAATGTTCCGTGCGTGATTTTTTAAAAAATGCCCTATTGCTATTAGTAACAATCAAAAATAATATTAATATTTTGACTATTGCTATTAGCAACAGTCAAAAATGATATTAATATTAGCCATAGTCAAGAATAATATTAATATTAGCAACAGTCAAGAATAATATTACAGTCAACTCTCGATATCTCGAACACTAAGGGGACCAGAAATAAAGTTCGAGATATCGAGAGTTTGAGATATCAAGAAAAGGGTTGAAAATAAATAAAATTGCACAACTTTCATTAAAACAAGTTATTTTTCTGACAAAAATCATTAACAACAAAAACTACAACTTTTGGAAAAAATCTGTTATCTGATATTGCTTTAAATTATCCATCTTTTCCATCTTCATTAAATCCTCAAGTTTTAGTGCTAGGGATTGTATTTCATTTTCCTATTTTGAGCTGTATAGCGAAGCATTTTGAATCGTTTCAAAAGCAATTTCTAATTGAATATCAGATGGGCGTGGCGGAGCTTTGACGTCAATAGCTTTGTCGGCGCTATCTTCAACTTCATTATTGTCGTTTTCAAAATTAGGGTCTAAAATCTGAGCAATGATTTCAGCATCAGTAGCAAGTGAACCGGTGGTTACTACATCGCAATCTAACCCAATGTAAGATTCCGCTGAGAGATTTTCTTAGAAAGCATGAGGATCTAACTTTCGCAAACGGTTAAGTTCTTCTGTCAAAAATTTAAAAGGATAATCATCATCAGCTTCTTCAATACTCTTGTTTGTTTTGCTGATACCAGCTTTTTTAAAGCAGTTGATGACAGTCTCCTTCAACACAGCATTCCACGAAGAAACAAGATCTTTCATTGCTTGAAGTATATAAATTTTTGGCATGGGTTCGTTATTATCGACAGCCTTGATACACAAATGCACAATTTTGTTATGATAATGAGCTTTAAGACTTCGTATTACGCCTTGATCCATGGGCTGAAGGACAGATGTGGTGTTAGGGGAGAAAAATATTGGGTTGATGTTGCTTAGCCCTTCAATGTGTGGGTGGGCAAAACAGTTATCCACCAGGAGTGCTACTTTCTTGTCTTGAGCACGAAAAAATGAGTCAAGTTTATTTTTCCATTCTTTAAAATAGTCTCCGGTCATCCAAATTTTTAGTTGATTTTTATATGTGCAAGGAAGTTGTTTAATGTGCTTAAAACACCGTGGGTTTTTAGATTATCTAATAACAAACATAAGTAATTTTTCTCCGGTTTCACTCCTGGCTGCTATGCCTGTTAGTCTGACTTTACTATTTTTTCCCCCAAAACATTTTTCTCGTGATAAATGGTATGTTTTGTTTGGTAGGCACTGGTAAAATAGTCCAAACTCATCGGCATTGAAAATGTTTTCAAGTTTGTAATTCAAACCAATGTTGGAAATGTAGTTTCATTCCACGAAGCAGTCATATTATTCGCCACGGCGGCACTTTCGCCTGAGATTATTTTAAAGCTGATGCTGTTCCTAAAAATAGAAACAGAATAATTGAATTTTAATTACACGTTTAAAAAACTAAATAAATTAAATATAAACAGATACATGTTATTTGTATATATTAAAATTGAACAAGATTTGACAAAATTTAACTGACCTTTCTTTCCAATTATGAAACAGATGCTTTAAAATCCAACTCTCCTAATGCTTCTGCGAATTTTAGTGCCTTTTCTTTTAGTATGGTACCATCAATTGGTACTTGTTGACTTCTTTTTGCAATGAACCACCTTGTCTACATTTTTGAAATTACCACTACAAAGTTTCTTCCGCTTAGATTTTGTGCCATTTTTTCCAGTGAGATTAATAACTTGGTTTTATTTTTAATCCAGGTTGATAATGTGTTCTTTGGGACTCCATACTTTTTGGCAACCTCTTTGTTAGACATCCCTGTCTCTAGGTCTTTTAATGCCTTGCATTTTTCTATTATAGATTTGTTCGTGAGTTTTCGTTTAACGAGCGGCATGTTGTTGCGTTTGACAAAAAGAATAAATTAATATATTAAAGAAAAACTTTTCAGAAATTCGAATCTTAAAAAAAATCGAATTTAAAAATCGAATTAAAAATTATTTTTTTTCAAAAATTGGAATTTAAAAAAAATTAAGTTTTATTAAAACATTTTTGAAAAAAAAAATGTTGAAAAGTTCGAGATAACGAGAGAAAATTGCCCTGTGGACCGAAAATATTGTTCGAGATACCAAAAAGTTTGAGATATTAAGGTTCGAGATATCAACAGGATTTTAGCCTAAACTAGTACGTTATATCCATGGGACCGCTAAAAAAGTTCGAGATACTCAAAAGTTCAAGATATCAAGTATTCAAGATATCGAGAGTCAACTGTAATATTTTAAAAGTAATTGAGATTTGGTTAGTACTGTAATGATAATAAGTTCTTTAACTCAACTTAATTTCTCCGCGCAGCGGCCTTGGTTGTCAAGGTTTGTGTTTCGGAGTTAAAGAGTTGAGAGAGGGTTGTACCACGATTTAAAACTAAAAAAAAAAAAAAAAAAATGAATAGCCTCCTTGACTGTAGTGGCCCCCTCGGGCCTTGGGGAGTGAATAATTAAAAAAAAAAAAAAAAAAAAAATTAATATAGTTTCTTAGTTAATGTACTTTTTTGGTTTTTTGTTTAGGTCTCATTATTGTTATCTATTCTTATGTTATCATTTTTTTACATATTTTTTTAATTTTAAATAACTTAGATTCTCGTGGAAGGCATTGCTTCCATTTGAGTTGTATAGCTGGACATCTTGATGCTGTAATTTATCTTATTTCCCAGGGAGCCAAAGTTGATGTTGTTGATAGATATAATAGAAGTTGTTTGCATTGGGCAGCAGAAAAGAAGTTTAAAGAAATTGTAGTTGCTCTGTTGCATGCTGGTATACATATCATTATAATCTCTAGTTATTCATTTGTATGTTGTATTTTTATATTTAATTTTTATTATTTATGTATTAATTTGTTTGTTGTATTTTTATATTTAACTTTTTTATTTATTAATTGATTTGTATGTTTTATTTTTGTAGTTAAATTTTATTTATTAATTTGCATGTTGTATTTTTTTAATTAATTTTTCTATTTATTTATTAATTTGTATGTTGTATTTTTATATTTAATTTTTTTTATTTATTTATTAATTTGTATGTTGTATTTTTATACTTAACTTTTTGAACATGTATACTTTTTTTGTATTTATATACTATGTTCATATTTTTGTGTTTTTTGTTGGAAACCTTTTAAGTTATAGGTTTTCTATTTATTTGTTCTTGAGGTGCTCCATTGAGTTATGAATTGTCAGGCAAATGGCAGCCAATTCATGCTGCAGTTAAAGGTGGTAATGATGAGATATTACAACTTTTGCTTGACCAAGAGCCTTTAAAAAGTTATCAAAGTAATTAACTTTTTTTTTTTTTTTAAATTATTATTTTAAACTAATTTTTTCTTCCTCAATTGTACTTAAGAACAAACAAATTAATTAATTAACTTTTTTCAGCTCCAAATTCTAATACACCTTTACATGTTGCTGCAAGAGACAATCAAGTAAAATGTTTGATGCTTTTGCTAAAAAGGAAATACCTTGTAAATGCTGTCAACAAAGGTACTTTTTCATAAGTTATCACTAATAGAATATGTCTAAGATTCTAAGATTCACTAATAGGTTATGTCTAAGGTTTATTACTTTTAGTTTAGTTAGTATTTTTTTGTTCTTATTCTTTTTGTTTAAAAAATAATTAATGAAATATCAAAAAATTAATACTCAATCTGTCAGTGCATAATATCCTATCAGTTGATGTATACATTATCATCATCATCGTCATCATCATCATCATCATCATCATCATCATCATCATCATCATCATCATCATCATCATCATCATCATCATCATCATCATCATCATCACCATCATCTTCATCATTATCATCATCATCATCATCATCATCATCATCATCATCATCATCATCATCACCATCTTCATCACCATCATCATTCTTGTCATCATCATCATTATCATCATCATCATCATCATCATCATCATCATCATCACCATCTTCATCACCATCATCATTCTTGTCATCGTCATCATTATCATCATCATCATCATCATCATCATCATCATCATCATCATCATCATCATCATCAAATGATGATGATTATGTCAAACTTTTTGTGCAATATACTATAGGAAGGGAAATGTTTATCTACTAATTTAAAAAAATTATAATTTAAACTGAAGTTGTACCAGCACAAGTGTTTATTACACTAAAAAATCATCAACTATTTTTTAAAAATAAACTTGTAATTTTCTAGTTCTTAATAATTATGGCAGTATACTTACGGATTTGATAAGTAAAATCAAATAAGGCAAATTTAATAATATTCTCAACAATTATTGTAAAAGTATTTTTGTTAAAAAAAATAACTTTAAGTATAATTATTTTTTTTACTAATTTGTTACACCTTTTTTTTTAAAAAACAATAAGCTCATTTTTCTAGAATCACTATTGCAATATACATTAGGGTGTACCAAAGAAAGAAAACCTCTCAAATTTTTACTATTCTCTGAGTTTCAAATAAGCTAAAAATACCCAAAATATGTTTTTTATTTGTGTAAAATTGATATATGTAAAGCTTCATTTTTTATTTAAGGAAAAAAGTTAAAGACTTTAGGAATTCTTTTAATAATATTTACTTCCAGCTAAAAAATTAAATATTTTTAATGCTGCTTCATTTTCCTTTTAAAAATTCTTTATAGTGACCAGCATGAGGTTCTGTTTCTTGCCCTCTGACCTGTCGCCTCCAGCAAAGTCTTTGATCTATTGGATATTCTTTTTAGCACAGTCACTGACACATTTAATAAATTTAATAAACTTTTTAAAAGTATCAAATGTCTGACTTGCGTTTAAAATGTCTGAGTTGCATTGCCCTTGATCTATTTTTCTGCCTCTTTAACAGGAATCTCTGCTAACTTGATTCAGCTCTGGGATATAAACTAATAAAATTCATTAGGCTCTGTTGACCTTTTAATAACTGATAGTTTTGGTTTTCCTATATAAAACTGCTCAGGGATACTTAACTACTTTTCTAATGTTTTCTTTACCTCTTTTTTAAGATCATGGTTAGCTAGGACCAACATAACTAACTGTTTTGTTAAATGCAAAACATGGTACTGCATGCTAATGAGAAAGGTCTGTTTTAGTTTTGGGCAGTGTTCTCTTATTTCAAATAATGACTTAAAGGCAGTAAATTTCTTTTAAGTTGATTTTTCCACTTTATAGGTTTTTTAGAAGCAAGGCTCATAGTATATAGAAACAAGGAATGGCCCTGTCTTTACTATCTCAAAAATGTGTAGTACGATCAAACTGTAATTAAATTAAAGTTAATTAAATTATTATTATTAAACTTTTTTATTTGACTACAAACAACTTTTTTTTTATTGACCATAAGCAATTCGCATGATTTGTTGTTATTTAGTTATAAATAGGCACAAATTTTGCTAAAAATAACATAATGTTGAGTTTTAATCTAAATAAAGCATATTTAAATAATCTAAATATAAGCATATTTTATTAGATATAATCTAAATAAAGCATATTGAGCACAAATCTACTATTACTTGAATTCTTAAAAGTCCTTATTTGATGCACGAAATCCATTTAATTGATTTTGTTGCAAAACAAAAATCTGTATGTACAAGGAAACAAGAACACTCACATTTTTGTAAGCTTCAGCATATTTTAGAGTCTCTTAAATTTTTTTGGATAAGCACACCCAAGCCTGTTCTAAAGATTTCATATGGTTCTAAAAAAGTAAGCATATATCACCCTAGTAATAATTTTATACACCTTTGAGGTTTATTAAAAAAAATGTATGAAATAAGAAAAACTTTCCTTACAAAATAATCAAATATTGATGGAATGAAAAAAACTAAACTTTTTTTTCAAAAAGTTTTGTTTTTTCAAATTTTAAAGATTTTTTTTTCTATTTATTTATAGCCTCAGGACTCTTCAGAGAATGAGTAAAACTTGACAGGTATTTCGGAAAAAAAAGTATGTTTGTAGTACATCCTAGTATACATACATACATAAGGTGTCCCAAAATGACATAAATTTTTTTCATTTTGAACTATTTTTAAATTTTCAATTGGTTTCATATTTATTTTTGTCTATTTAAACCAAAAAAAACAACAAACTTTTATTTTTGACCATCCTAAAATATTGACAAAAACGACTAAAAACTATTTTGATATTCAACTATGTTCACATTTTTCTATGTTTACATTTTTGATATTTAACTTTGTTCACATTTTTGATATTCAACTATGTTAACATTTTTAACAGTTTTTTATTTAGCTTAGTTTAATAAAACCTAATGACATGTTATTTTTGAAAAAATTTGATTTATAACTCCCTTACAACTCTTTTTAAAGTGTTTTCCCTAAAATAATCCCAAATAAACTTCTTACATATACCTAATAATATTTAACTATGTTTATATTTTCAAATAGTTTTATATATAATTATTTAAACTAAAACCAGATAAAAATTTATTTATTCAAAAGAAACTTCACCCATCAAGATACCCGATCCCCCTCCCTCCTCCTCATGATACTAACTTCTCCCCTCTCCCTCTCTTGATTATAGTATTATTTTGCCTAAAATTATGAATTTTTAAAATTATACTTTCTAATTAAAACAAAAAAGATTTACTTGATAAATATTTTTAAAATTTGTCATCAAAATTTATTTTTTATGACAAACAAGCAAATACATGGTTGGTATACATTGAAAACATTAACACTAACTGTGACTAAAATGGGACTAAGTACAAAGAAATTCAAAATTTAAGTCATTTTAAAAATTATGACAGCAAATTATATTTGAAAGGTATTAGTAATATAAAAAAAACATTGATTAAATTTTTAAAAATTGAGTTTTTAAATTGCTTGTTTATTTATCTGTGGAAGAACATTTTGGTTCTACTGCACGCAAAAGAAATTCTTTCTGCTCTTTATTTTTAGTTATAGATTTTGAATAGTCTTGAATTAGTTTGGGCTAACCAACCACTATCTTTACTTGAATATACATGTAAATTTAGAATGTTGCTTGATTTTGGTCCATTTAAATCAGTTGAATGAGTACTCAGTTTCAAAATTGTAGAAAACCTAAATCCCAGTTTCCAGTTTTCTCTTATATTTTTAAGAATTATTTTAGCAATTTTAGCTTTATCATGATCAGATGCTTTATCAGAAAATATTGAGAGAAGAGACAATTCTTTGGTTAAATACCAAAGATGCTGATTAAATGTTTCAAGGGAAGCAACATCAACGTCTTTTATAATTTTTTTATAAAGAAGCTTTTTTTTTCTTTGTAGATTATAAGTCATTAAATAAAGCATCAATTATGTTTGTACACGTAAGCCACATTTTTACATAAAATAGCATTGTAAATTTACAAAGCCGTGATTTAGTTTCTCTATATAACTTTCTTCATACTCTGCCAATTCAGCAAAAGCAAGCATTTTTGATGTATACAAAATTGTATACATCCATCTAGCATGATGGAACGCCCCAGGTTTGAGCCACTGTACTTTTATTTGTTTTACATTCAGTAACTACAAAGCAAGTTAGTAACATACTTGATAATCATCTCATTATTTTTTGAGACTTCTGGTTAAATAAATTAAGGCAAAAAATTTTGTTTTTCTTCTGCTTGTTTGGTCTTTAATACTGGTTCCTCAATTACAATTTTTCTAAAAAGGGTATCTGTACTTATATAAATTTAGGCCATACATCATTAAATTGTCTAATTTGCTCATAATTTGGAGATCAACATTCTTCAACATTTGGAGATCAACATTCTTCAAAACTTGTTAAATAAAGAAATAAGTTTAAAGTAACTTTTTATTAAAGTATCTTTGAATTAACTTTGCAGAACCATTTATCCAACCTGAATTTGATGGAGTTGTGTTTTATTTTAGTTTCCAGGCCATTACATCATTTATTGTTGCTGTTGCCTTACTTTTCGCAGTTGTTTTAAGAATCCTGGACACACAACAATTTTCATTTAGGTGCACTTGATTTTCCTATTACTCCAATAGCCAAGTGTTCTATTTTACCATCTACCTCAGATTCCAGCTTTGAATCATGTGAGTTGATTCAAAGCTGGAATCTGAGGTAGATGGTAAAAGAGAACAAGTACATGGTTGAAGTAAATGTTTTTTTAATGTCATCGGAAACTTGCTGTCGAATTTTATTACCTAATCTGCTTGCTGTGCCTTTTGAGATATTTTATCCAAACTGTGAACTCATGCTTCAGCTACAGCTTTAATCATTCCATTCTTTGTTAGATAGATTCAACCTATCAGCCATTAAAGAAACTTTAGGGTGTTCTAATATCCTAAACTTTTTTTTGTCTAGTAATAGCACTTTCTTTCTTATTATTGTAAATTTTGTCTTTATCATCAAATTCTGTTAGTACATTAGATCTATCATTTTTATATTTTCTTTTTTTGAATTCTCTTTTTTAATAGCTTTTATCATCTGTGATTCTTTATGCTCTTTTCTTTTTATTTTCATAGTATGAATCTTATCTAATGAA